CCCCAAAACCCCAAAACCCCAAAACCCCATCACCTATAAATAAAATTGAATTATAAAACAATGGGGTCAGCAAGCTGCTACGTGCCCAAGCGCCAAACTTCATCCTGTTTTTGTGCAAATAAGAATAAAATAGATGATGATAATGCCAAAGAGTATATCAAAAACAAGTATAACATTGAAGCAAAAATTAACGGTAAGTTTATTGACAATAAAGCCAGGAAAAATTTATTTATTATATCCGTTTTTATGTAAAACATGGAAAGTGGAAAATATATATGACGCTTAGTATCGGGTTTTAAAAGGTCAAAAAATAATCACTGAAAGCCAATCACCAATTCCCTATAATTTTCATAAGGTTTGGTTATTTTTATTATCATTCTGATAACACAAAACACCTAATTTGATCAGGTTATGCCCTTTACACAATTTACAATATATTTAAAAGCTAGAAACCTCCGTTCACTTCCTCCCTATTCTGTTCCTCCTTCTTCATTCCAAACAATCAAGCCCTTCAGACTCCTAATATCATCTATTAAGACTTCCCCCTAACCCCCTTCCAACCCCATTCACCCCTTATCACCCCAAAAATCCCTCAACCCCCACCCAACACATTCCTTTCCACTTAAAATTCCCCCTAAAATCCCATTTTCCCAGCCAACTTCTAACTCCTTCCTACAGATGAAGGAAACTACAGTGTGATCTTCAGAGCATCTCTGAAGGAAGACCCTGAGAAAAAGTTTGCTATAAAATGTATTTCTAAGAAATAAAGCTGTTGGAGAAATAGCCAATGCCGTTAGAGATGTGGATAAGTTGATTCAAATTCCACATCCTAATATTATTAGGTACTATGAGAGATATGAGGATAAATAAGACCTTGTTCATTGTGGTGGAGTACTGTGGAGGGTTCATGCCTGATGGAGATAATGTAGAGGCCTATAGGAGCCATGAGTCGCTTTTTGATATACTTATGAAAGTTACGGGTGATGGAGTGGCGTTTAGTGAGTATGAAGCAGCCCTTGTGCTGAAGAAACTTTTACAAACGATAAATTTTTGACATATGAATAAAATTGCTCATAAGGATATTAAGCCAAAGAAAATTTTATTTACGCAAGAAGGAGATCTGAAGTTAATTGATTTTGGGTTGTCTAAATGGAAGTCAACAGGGAAGATACATACCACAAGTGGAACTCCTTACTATCTTGCTCCAGAAGTGATTCTTGGAGTCAGGACCTCGAAATCAGACATATGGTCACTCGGGATTCTTCTATATTGTCTTCTTAGTGGAAGTCTTCCTTTTGTCAGCGATTCTCAAGAAACAGTTTATGAAAAGGCAAAAGAAGCGGATGTACATTTTGACGGTAAAATTTGGGGTACAGTTTCTTATGAAGCACAAGACCTCATCAGCAAAATGATAGATAGAGATTACCACCATAGGTACAACACTGAGGAATGTCTCAGTCATGAGTGGTTCATGAACTCTTTATCTGAGGACAGTCGTACAAAGTCAGAGAGTTGGAAATAAGGATTTCTGTACATTAGAACCAACTGGCAAAAATGGTAAATAAGGGAGGTTCTAGAAAGAAAATCCCCATGATTAGAAAATCTAACTTTTCTGCCTTTATTCTCAAGTGAGAGGTTGAGTTCTCTCTCGCGAAGGTGATAGAGTCTAAGCTTGAGTATCAAGAGATTAATGAGCTGGGTGTTCGATTCGACCAAATCTCGGATTCAAATAATTTAATAGACTCTCAGATACTAATAAATGAACTTCATGAGATAAACAGCAACATTGAGAAAGCAAAGATTAAAAAGCTTCTGGAGTATTTGGAAGAAAAAGATATACTATATGATAAAATTCACTATAACCAGATTATGAATGAAATCAAAATTTTGAAGGAGTTCAAGAAGAGGGACCAGATTAGGATGGTGAGTATATACTGCCAGATTTTCATATCTTTTCAAGATTAATATTGGTATTAGGTATACTATCAATTCTGAGATGAAAAGACAAATACTCTACCAGTAAAGCATTTTGGGGAGATTTTTGAGCAATTTTTGATTCCCAAGAGTGAGGAGGAATTAACTAAGATCCATGAAGACTATCTTGATGAGAAATGGTAAAACTTTTCTAACCCATATAGGATTAAAGAATCTACTCATGTGTCTTTTCCAAGATTTAAAGAGATGATGATTGATCTCCTGCACGAAAATAATACCAATGATTCTTCTTTTGAATAGAAATTTTTTACTAATAATAGAACATTTTAACCAATTCCCCAATGTTTAAAAGCAAATTATCAATAAAAATCACCTAATTTCCCAAAAACCTGTCATAACATTTCAATCAATCCCTAAAATAAGGGGTTTTGGGGTTTTGGGGTTTTGGGGTTTTGGGG